TCAGCATCATCATCGAATCACCACCACCACCATCATCACCGTCATCATCATCATCATCATCATCATCATCATCATCATCATCATCATCATCAGCATCAGCATTACCATCAGCATCATCATCATCAGCATCATCAGCATCATCATCATCATCATAATCATCATCATCCCCGCCCTCCTCGTCCTCCTCTTCCTTCTTCTCCTTCTCCTCGTCCTCCTCCTCCTTTTTTGTCCATCCCTCCTCCTCCTCCTCCGCCTCCTCCTCCACCTCCGTCCTCGGTTCTTTTCTCGCACGCAACGAGAGACACCAGACAACAACCACAGTCAAGGCACAGCCAAAACATGTCCCGGCGCCCGCCCTGCCGCCAACGCTACGCACGAAGCGCACCTCCTCTCGTGGTCGCCCCCGCGCCTGGGCAAGCGGCGCAGAGGCCGCCACGAGAGGGCAGATCGGCGAGCCGCCGCCATAGTGTCCTCGCCCGGTGCGCCGTGCCCGCCACGCCGCCGCTGGTGGCCGCCGCTAGCGGCCAACGGTGCCAGAGGCCCCGCGCACGCTGGCCTCGGCAGACCACGCTGCCACGAACGAAGGCGTGGCCTGGGCACGCCGAGGGCTGGGAGCACGCGCGCGGCTGGAGCCACGCGTGACGCACGCGGAGGCCGCTCGCCGGATGCACGGGAAGGGAGCCGGCGCGCCTGGCCGCGCGAGGTCCAAGCGCTGGAGCGGCGTGCGGCCGCGTGCGTGCCCGGCGGCCGCGCGGGCCTGCCGCGCCGCGCACCTGCCGAGGGCGGCTCCCTGGCCTGCTTGCCCTCGCCTGGAGGGCGCCGCGTGCAGCACACGCCTGCTGCTCGTTTCTGCGCCAGCCCCTCGCGCGGCTCCGCACATCCGGGGCGCTCGTGATCCACGGGGCGCGGGCTCGGCGATCTATCCCGGCAGGCCCGGGAAGCAGAACCTCGAGCGCTCGGCCGCCGACCCCGCGCTGCTGCTGGCGTTCGACTCGCCCCAGATCGCGTAGCCGCAGGTGAAGTCTGGCCTGGTGTCCGACACCCCGAGCCGGCCGAACATGCAGCCCTGCACGACGACGCCCAGGACGTCCGCGAGGGCGATGCCGAGGGAGTCGGCCAGGGAGGCGGAGCTGAGCGCCAGCTCGGCGTCCCTCTCCTCCTGCTCCCTGGCGATCAGGCTGAACGCGCCGACGTAGACCCCACCACCCAGGAAGCCCACGACCAGGCAGGGGGCCAGGAGCCACCAGCTCCCGTGATGGGCCTGTTGTCCACCACCACCACCACCATAAGTTGGAGAGGGGAAGAAGGAGGAGGACGAGGAGGAGGAGGAGGAGGAAGAGGAGGAGGAGGAGGACACCCTCCCCCTCCAACTCGTGGTGGTGGTGGTGGAAAGCAGGCCCGTCGTCCCGGCCTCTGCGGCCGCCGCCCACCAGAAGAGCAGCACCATGGCCGCCTGCAGGGCGCCGCCCAGCCACAGGGCGGAGCGGCAGGTGCAGACTCCGCCAAAGGAGGAGCGCGAGATGCACACGCCCACCTGGTAGGCGAAATTCGACCACCGATCCGCCACCGCGACGTGAGCACCGAGCGAGCCCCTCGGGTACCCAAATCACGGCATGCGCGCCATTAGGAACGCTAAATTCTTCGAGGCCTCCCAGATGCGGCCCGAGTAGAGCTGGGGTCGGAGGATCTCGCCGCATCGCCGATGCACTGGCGATGCGTCGCCGATGCAGCGGCCATGCACTAGCGACGTAGGCGATGCATCGGCGGCGTCGGCGTGGAGAAGATTGGGCCCCGCACCGCGCCGCATCGCCAACGCATCGCCGATGCATCGGCGACGCGGCGCGAGCCTCCGACCCCATCAGCGCGGACCCCGTCTTGGAGGCCCAGAGCTGCGCAGAGGAGACGGGACCTCTTGCTGCCCGCGAGGAGCTTCGGCCGCGAAGAGAGGTCCCCCGACCCCCGAGTCTCGGAGGAGCGACCGGAAGCCGGGAGCCCCGCCCGCACCCGAACGTTGTTTCCTTGCATCAGCGCGCCTTGACTGCGGTCCTCGATACGAAAAGGGGCCCAGGGGCACACAGAGAAATAGACACAGATCCCAGGATTCCCCATGTGTTCCTATACATCTTCTGGGTCTTCCTCCTTCCCCCCCCCCCGCGTCCCATATCTTCCCATATTTCCTTGAAGGTCGACGATCGATTGTGTCTGTGTTATCCCCCTCCTGAGACACGCACTGCATGTTGGACATGACGTTCGCGTGCCCAGGGCACCCGACTCGCGTGGGGGCTCCTGGGCATGCTTTGGGGGGCGCGCAGCGCAGCGCCCTGGAAGCGCCCACGGAACCCAGACGTCCAATGAGACGGACCCCAAAGATCCATCCATCCTGCAACTGTCTTGGGTCGGGCGTTGGCAGAAGTGGGTTTAGGGGGACCTGGTTTTGTCATGTGTACCGGGGGGCGCCCCCCCCGTCCCATTCCACTAACCGGAATTGCCGTCACCCGAA